GAATGTGTTTCAAACATGATTTTGGCTGGGACTGTGGGGCAGTGTGTGTGGCCAGCACGTGTGGCCTGCCCTGGATCACAGCTTCAGGGCTGGGGCCCCCTGCCACGGCCCTGCTCGCAGCGACGCTCTGGGCAGCAGGGTCCTCAGCCGGGGCTGGGCTCCAGAGCAGTGTGGCCCCACCAGGGGAATGTGGGGGCTGGCCCCGGCCAGGCCTGCGTGCCGGACGAGCCCGTCACAAGCCAGGGCCTTCCCTGCACCAGGCTCCCTGGGCATCCTGGGAGTGTCCTTCAGGAGGGAGGAGGTTGCTTCTGTGTTAGCAGCACACGCGAGCTCAAGCCCACAGTTGCCACAGAACCGCGTGCGGGAGGGTAGCCTCTGCGTGTGATGACGACGCCAGCTGCTGTTGCACACTCTACCCAGGGGACGAGGTCTTCAGAGAGCCCAGAGCCACCGTGCACCTGCGTCCGTGCACCTGCGTCCGTGCACCTGCGTCCGTGCACCTACGTCCGTGCACCTGCGTCCGTGCACCTGCGTCCGTGCACCTGTCCGCTTTTCTTCCCTCTCGTTTGTGGTCAGAGCTTCCAGATCCTCCTTCACGAGACAGCAGCCGAGCCAGAGCAGGAGAGCCACGCTTCTGGGGGGATGGTTCTTTACAGCCAGGTTGAGGCAGGCGTGCGCTGGGCAGGCGTGCGCTGGGCAGGCGAGTGCGCTGGGCAGGCGTGCGCTGGGCAGGCGAGCGAGTGCTGGGCAGGCGTGCGTGCGCTGGGCAGGCGTGTGCTGGGCAGGCCAGCGAGCGCTGGGCAGGTGTGCGTGCGCTGGGCAGGCGAGCGCTGGGCAGGCGAGCGAGCGCTGGGCAGGCGAGCGCTGGGCAGGCGAGCGCTGGGCAGGTGTGCGTGCGCTGGGCAGGCGAGCGCTGGGCAGGCGAGCATGTTGAGCCCACAGCTCCTCTGCTTTGGCGGGACCATGTTGTTGATCTGTTGCGGGGAGCGCTGGCACAACCTGGATCTCGGCAAAGGGGCAGTGATGCCCTCCCTTCTGCTGTAGGCAACGTGTCATCCAGAAGAGAACGTGAGCAGACCAGGCCCGGAACCCATCTCTGCTCACGTGATTGTGGACCTGCTGCTGCGTCCCACAATGAAGAGCTTGCACTGGGGGCGCCGACGGTGCCAGGTGACACTCCAGAGCTCCCGAGGACTCCTCAAGCCGGGATGCTCACAGCTGCCTGGTACTGCTGTGTCCACGTGCTCTTGGAAGACACTCGGAGGGCAGCCCGCGGGCTGGAGTGGAGATGAGCGCGTCCACTGCCGGGCTGGGCCTAGGCGAAGGGGCGCAGGAGGGGTGCACTCGCCTCCCCGCAGCCGTCCATGGAGAAGCCTCGATGGCGAGTGCCCGCGTGTGAGGCACCAGAGCTGCGACAGGGTGTGGCGGCATGGTGGCTGCATCGGACGTGCTAGTCGGGGGACTGGCAGCCCGACGACAGACTGAACTGGTAGTTACATGAGAGTTTTATACTTTCAAGCGGCCGCCTCAGTAACAGACTAAGGATACAGGACGATGCGCTGACGTGCGGGATGACTGTAAATGGGCTAAATAACCAACGAAAAGGCACAGGCCAAGTGGGGTCTGCCAAAACATTCATCAAAAAAAGCCTATTTGGAGAAACTTCATGGATTTCAGATAGTTTTGGACCAAAATATGTTTAATTGCACTTTTCCAAAAACCGCTGACGTGTTTGTATGTCAGATACACCTTACATATGAAAGCGCAAAGGGATGGGAAGGACAAGGCGGGCAAGCACATCAACACCACCGATGAATAGTCCAGCTGTAAACACAGCGGAGATGGGAAACATGGCCAACTGCTAGGGATGCAGGTGCACCTGGCGGGGGCGGGGCTGTCAGCTCGCAGCTTTAACCTTTAACTCCCTGACGGACGCCTGGAAAAAGCAAGTGGAAAATTGGTGAGGCTACGCAGGACACCACTCGGCCCTCCACGCCCAGCAACGGCAGAACGTGGTTCCTGCCAGGTGCCCGTGGGGTGCTCACCACAGTGGGCCCTCTGCAGGGCCACAGGACGCCTGTACGTGACCGCCAACATTCCCATCCCCCCCAATCAACATAAAAACCACCAGGTTTAAGTGACTCACGAGTCCGGGAGGACAGACAGTGGTGTGGGAAGTGAGGACATTCCTGAGGGTGCCAAAACCTGGGGGTGCAGCTGCGGCAGAGTCACCCCTATAGCGCCGAGTGTCTGTCAGAAGGCTTAGTGGGACAATTGGCTGGGGGCTGGCACCGTGGGCAGCAGGCTGAGCCGCTGTTGCAACCAGGGCCTTTCCCACTGGCTGCTCTGGTTCTCAGCCAGGTGCCTGGACGGCCATGTGGGAAGTCCCCGAGGCAGGCCCAGGCTCCTGCCTTCAGCCTGGCCGTCGGGGGTGGGGGACCCGTGAGTGAAAGGATTCTACCTCTTTGTCATTCTCCCTTTCAAATAAAGTCATCTTCAAATCAGTCTTTCCCTTGTAAGGGACAGGGCAGGAATTGATGGGGAGAGGGACTGCGGACCCGACAGACCAGAGGGTGGTTCCGTGAGGGGTCCAGGCAGCACGGGTGCATTGGGAGCCAAAGGGAGCCCACGGAGTGAAGCCAGGTTTCAGAAAGAACTCTGAGACCAGTACGGGCAGGAATGGGGGCCTCCCAACAGAAACTTGCCCCAGAAGCTTCCAGAACCAGGTGGTTCCCAAGCACACAGGGACTGTCAGACAGGGAGTGTGTTCCAGCCGACCTGGAGGGCCCAGGGGGAGCCTGTCACACCTGACAGAGATAAACGGGCCTGTGAATTCTCACCACGAATGCTCGCAATGCGGGTCAAGTTCCTATGCCAAATGCCAGCACACGTCACGAGCAACGGGCTGGAGGAATTGAACATAGCAAAGTGAGCAGTGGGTGGCTCGCAGGTCGGAGTGCTGGGGCCAGGCTCTCTGCATCCCACAGACGGCACTCCGGAGGCCTCCGACGGTGACTCGGCCACTTGGCCGCTCCGTGGAGACTGGGCCATGCTTCAAGCACCGGCTTTGCCCTGACCCAGTTATGGCTGTGGGCATCTGGGGAGTGAACCGACAGGTGGTAAGCAGAGAGGGACACTGACCCACCCCAGTCTCAGTGAAGCCAGAAATCCCGGAAATAAGCACAGGACAGTAATTGGGTAACCTTGGGGACAGTAAGCGCCTTGTTTTTTCCAAGAAATAGGAAGGCTGCAATATCACGCCGCGCATGGGGCCGCAGTTGCTACTGTGACCCCGGGGACCTGTTTGTTTCTTGAGATGAACCAGTGTCAGACTTCGTCACAGCAGGTGGGTAATTTAGAAACCAAAAAACAAAAACAGATAGAAACCAGCAGGGCGGATACTGCACTACGCCTTAAGTCGCATAAAGAGGCCAGGACCGTGGTCAGCTGGGGTGAAGGTGGGCCAGAGGGATGAGGGGAGGTGGTGCCCAGTCTGCAGACAGAGGAGGCTGTGATTACAGCTGAGCTGCCCACTGCTGCTCACGGAATGGCTGAGGACGGTGGCAGGGGGCGAGGCCGCCGGGGTGAGGACAGTGGGCAGGGAGTGGGGCCTCCAGCCCATAGCTGCCTCTCAGCACGGGGAGAAAGCCTTCCCAGGAATACATATGGCCCAGGGTTGGCCACAGCTGGGCATGTACGGGCCCAGGTGAGCCTTCACTCCGTGCCCAGCCCCAGCAGCCAACCCGAAGGCCACACCAATTTTGCAGCCCCTCAATTTTGCTGGAGAAAACTTACCTACAATCCGATGTTTGCAATGCCACATGGATCTGACGGGTTGGCTGGGCACGTGAGCTGCAGAATTCAACACAGTCTCCGTTTCCAAGGTTGGGTGGTCCTGGGCGCTTGTGCTGTTGATGACTCTGCTGTGCCATGGGCTTCACGTGGGGACCCCAGTGAACACCCTGTATACCTCCTGCTCCCTCCACTCGGCCATCTCGCCCCTGGCCCAAATACGGTGAACTCAGCTAGGTGATCCTGGGGCCCCGCTGTGACCCCACAAAGATGGGCATAGTGGCTCCAGCTCCCAGGCACCCTGAGTCATCAAGGCCAAGGGTACGTGAGGGCAGCCAGTGGCTGGGCCTGATATCCTTGGCTAGTGCAGCGAGGGGGAGTACTAGCCCTAGGCCCTCGCCAGGCTCCAGGGAACAGCCCAGGGGTGGGGGGGACAGATATGCCACCTGCTTTGTCTTTGGAGCAGCAGATGTGGGTACAGTGGCCACTGAGCTTGCAGCATGGGAACTGATCCTTGAAGCCACCAGGGCTGGGGCAGGGGGTGGGAGAGTTCTCCTGGGGTGACACTGCTTTGTTCCAAGTCCTTCTAGCTGTGAGTTGCAAGGCCACATGTGCCACCCAGCTGACATTGTCAGAACCACGAGAGCTGCTCCAGCATCTTGAACTCACAAGGTGCCAAGGAGGTCGTCTGGGCCAACTCCCAGGAGACGCCGGGGCTGCCCTGAGAAGATGCCCAGCTTGCCTGTGGGTACCGAGCAAGGGACAGCAGCTGCGGGGTGGGTGGGGGTGTCTCCTGTGCTAACTGCTGGAAGCAGTGTGGTGACCCTGTGCTGCCAGCGTAGACCCGAGCTGGGACACCCTGTCCAGTCAGACTTGTTCCGTGTCGGTGACAGCACCGGGGTCATCTCAGATCACTGGGCCCCATGAGGGCAACCCAGGTGGGCAGCTGTGGTTCCCTTCCAATTGGGGGTTGCCCTGCCTTCCCACTGCTCCAGCTCATGGATGGCAAGGTGGGAAAAGCAGCAGGATGGATGCCTGCCATGGCCCCACCAACCGCCAACCTTGCAGCCGGGAGGGACCCATCAGCAGCGAGCCTGGATGTGTCGTCACCTGGGCGGAGACACCCCCATGTGGGCACTGCCCTGGATGAGCGGGCACCAACTGCTGCCAGGTGCCACCATGGACATGAGGGACACCATGCAAAGGCATTCCTTCCGACACAGGAAGTTCAAGTACTTTATTGAAAAACAGCTCAGTGTCATCTCGAAATATAGATCTCTGCCAGTATACATCTCAGCTTTTGAACCACCCGACAGCATGATTCCCGTGCGTTTGAAAGAACTTTATTTAAAAACATCAACTTGAGGCAGCAAGTGTCAAGTGTCCGACGCAGTCCGTGTCCGCGCCGCGGGCAGGCAGCCGGCCCTGCTCGTCCACGCCGCGGCCGCATACACTGAGGTAGCCGTGCCCACCGGGAGCCCCGTGCCCAGGGGTCCCCGCGCGGCGGGGGGAGGCAGTCCAAGGGCAATAGCAGGGGAAGTAGCCCCAGAAAGAGACGTGCTGGCATAAGCAGGTGCCAGACAGCTTTGAGTCCCGGCCTGTGGCCACCTCCAGCTTTGGTGTGGGCCGCCCTGGGCTTGAAAGCTGTCCGACTTGAAGGGTGAGGGGGCGGCTGCTCGCCCCTCGGAGGAGCCCTGGGGGGAGCTCAGGCACCACTGCCAGGCGAGCTAGAGGACGGAAATCGTCCGTCGTCGTCGTGGCCGCCTCCACGGCTCCAGACATTTGCATGGGCTGGGGCTGACGATGTCAACAACTTCTTGTTTGACTCGAGTTTGGGGAATGCAAAATCTGACTGTTTTGTTCTGAACTGCTTGTGGGCCTAAGTTGCAAATGTTTGACAATCTGGGGGGAAAAAAAACATGCAGAATAACACCTGTGGAATGAAAGAGTGGAAATTAAAGCATCTTTCTCAAAAAAGGACTGGAAATGATTTCTTTCGATTGTGGACAAAGTCATGAAGTGTGGCGGTGTTGCCTGGTGGTTCGAACCTAGTCTACACCTACCAAACCCCTGTGGTGTTGGGCAGGGGGCCCGGCGGGCACTGCCCGAGGCACAGTGGCTGCATCTGCCAGCAGCCACTCTCTGCCCGCAAGCCGCCCGAGCGTGGAATGTGTGAGAAGGCGTGTGTGGCTCAGACTGCTGACTCAGTCTCCACGGGGCCCTGCAGGCCCTCCTTCCGTGACAGCTTCAGCACCGTGGGCCTCTCGGGGTCCCCCCTGTTAGTCCCGCCCTCGCCAGCCGGCGTAGGTGACAGGCCCTTCTGTTCCTCCTTGGCCTCCTCTGACACCTCGGGGTAGATCACCAGGAACGTGGCTGTGAGGAAGCCCAAGAAAGAGCCCACGGAGGCCACCATGGGGATGACACGCACGGTACCCACAGCGTCGACCACGCCCCCAAGGGCAGATGCCACCAGGATCTGCGAGATGTAAACCTGGCAGGAGAGGATGGCGCAGTCGATGCCGAATCCACGCTTCGAGTTGCCAGGGCTGTGGTGAACGTACTGCAAGGAAGGAGGCACACAGGTGAGGCTGAGCCAACGAGCGGGGGCCCATGTGTGAGGGCAGAGTCAGAGGGGAACCACGCCAACTCCTTCCCACCCCTAAGTGGGCAAAGCACAGGGAGGGAGGAGGCTCCAGGGGCCTGCAGCCTGTGCCCCATTGGCCCAATGGGCAAATGGAACCTAGACAGAAAGGGAGCAGGAAGGGGGAGCAGCAGGTTCCAAGCCGAGCCATGCACGCACGAGGCGGCTCTGTGAGGCCCCAGGAAGATGGACACGCGCTGCTGCACCATGATCCTGTCACGCTGAGGCACAGAGGGCTTGGTGCCGAGGCAGACCTCTCTCCTGGGGTGTCTACTGCCCCAACCCAAGACTGGAAGCGATGTCCACATGGAGTGTGGGGAGGAGCGCCCTGTGCACATCAGCCAGTGAGGAAAAGCATCACCCAGCCGTGTCCTTGGGGCTGGGCTGGACAGCCCATATCTGCAGGAGTTTGATGGACAGACCTCCTATGTCCATGGGAGGTACAATGAGCAGCACCTACGCCCATGAGAGCCACGACGGACAGGCGGTCAGGACCCACGTCCGTAGGGGCCTGACTTGGGGCAAGTAGCAGCTCTGATGGCCTTGAGTACACAGAGCAGTGCCAAGGACAGGCTGGGTCCCGAGTGACACCCCCACCCTCCACCCTGACAGGTCCACCCTGCACTGACCCGCCCCCCATGCCACCCCAGCCTCCCGCAGGACACACCTCCTTGATGTCGTGGTAGTGGCCCAGCAGAGCGTAGGGGCAGTAGGAGATGCTCATGGAGACGATGCCCATGGTGCTGATGCAGACCATGGCGACGTGGACGTCAGGGAAGATGGCCATGACGGCTGTGCCCACGGAGAAGCCCAGTGTGCCCAGGACGTAGATGACCCTGATACTCAGGTCATAACTGTCCAGGTACTTCTGTAGCAGGGCTGCAGAGACACGGCCATGAGTGCACACACACACACACACACACACCCCCAGAGCTGCAGGGACACGGCCATGAGTGTGCACACACACACCCAGAGCTGCAGGGACACGGCTGTGAGCACACACACACATACCCAGAGACACACACACACACACACACCCAGAGCTGCAAGGACACAGCCATGAGTGTGTGTACACACACATCCAGAGCTGCAGGGACATGGCCGTGAGCGCGCGCACACACACACCCAGAGCTGCAGAGACACGGCCGTGAGTGTGCACACACACACACACACACACACACACACACACACCCAGAGCTGCAGGGACACGGCCGTGAGCATGCACACACACACACACACACACACCCAGAGCTGCAGAGACATGGCTGTGAGTGTGCACATACATACACCCAGAGCTGCAGGGACACGGCCATGAGTGTGCACACACACACCCAGAGCTGCAGGGACACGGCCGTGAGCATACACACACATACCCAGAGCTGCAGGGACACGGCCGTGAGCACACACACACATACCCAGAGCTGCAGGGACACGGCCGTGAGCATACACACACATACCCAGAGCTGCAGGGACACGGCCATGAGTGTGCACACACACATACCCAGAGCTGCAGGGACACGGCTGTGAGTGTGCACACACATACACCCAGAGCTGCAGGGACACGGCCGTGAACAGCAAGACCCCCAGGCAGGCAGCCAGCACACACCACCCACACCCCACACCCTTCCCCCAGAGCTGCAGGGACATAGCTGTGGGCAGGGCCCCCAGCTTTGCCCTCCCCAGGCAGCCAGCACAGGCGCACACACAGTGGGACCAGCCAGCATGTACCACCACACACACACACACTCACCCAGAGCTGCAAGGATATGACTGTGAGGAGGCCCCCAAGCAGCCAGCCAGCCAGCACGCACCACCACATACAGATGCAGGGACATGGGTCGTGAGCAGGAGAGCTCCCTGCTCTGCCCTCCCCAGGCAGCTAGCTGCACACACCACCACACATTCACACACAGCCGGGGCCAGCCAACACACACACAGGGCTGTAACATCTCACACACCCAGCCCTGGACTTTCCAGCAGCTTCTGGGGCCTTCCCGACAGGAACTACCCAGGCCTGCTCCGTGGTGCTGACCATTGACCGCACCCCAGGACAGCTGGGGCAGTCCTTCCTCCCGGCACCTCTACTCCTGCCCAGCCCTCCTGTCTTGGGGGGGTCACAGGACACCTCCTTTAGGAAGCACTTGTGTCCTCACAGGGGTATGGGGCATTGTGACGTAGCTGGTTATGCTGCCAAGTAGGAGGCACACGGTCACATCAGAGTGCAGCCCAAGCTCCAGCTGCTCCACTTGCCACTTTGCTCCTTGCCATGGAGGATGCCCAAAGTGCTGGGCCCCTGCACCCACATGGGAGCCCTTGGCTCCCGCCTCCATGGCCTGGAGGTGCTGGGGTCCATGTGATGGATGTGGAAGACAGGAAGGTGTGTAGAGTACTGTTCCACTGCATGGCAGGGCCCGGCCGATGTCTCTGCAGCCACCTGAATGCAGCTCCACCTCCCTTTGCATGGACACCGGACAACCCCGCTGAGATTTCTATAGTTTATTTAGGCATTGTCTGCCTCTGTGGAGTTAATGTTTACTACCAGTGTGAGCTTGGAAGTTGATGTTGCTGATACTGTTTTAGCCAAAGGGCCTTTTATTCTTGCTGTCTCTGTGCCCCCCCCCCACACACACCACCCTACCCGCGTTGACCATATGCTAATCAAGGGTGTTCTGTCCCCAGGTGTAGTGGGAATCTATTCTTTCCCTCTTTCCTTGATCTTTACGTCCGTTCTTCCGTGATGCACTTCCTCCCTGAACTGATTCAAGATTCAGTTGTAGAATGAGGATTGAGTTGTAGAATGTGTTACTGATTGGTATGCACCATCTATTGAGAACTTCCTGACCACAGGGTAGGATGGATAACATCCTGCTTCAAGGTGAAACAAACTGCAGAGTCATCTTTAGAAACACCCGCTTGACCATGACGTAAAAAGTCTGAGCCAGAGTTTGACTGGTTCTGTATAAATAAAGCGGACAGCTTTCCTGCATTGTCCACAATGATCATGGAACCCTAGAGGTCCGTCCCTCTTTCTCTCTTTGCGCCTCATCCACGCACCCTTCGTGAGTTTCGGACTCGGCTGGAGCTGGACTCCGGCACTGAGGGTATTGGAGAAATGAATCAATGAATGGCAAACCTCTCCCTTCCTCTCTGTCACTCGGCCTTTCCAGCCAGTCTTTCACAGTGGAGACAGTTACATCACGCTGTTCCTGGGAGGGAGCTGTCATTCCAACCCACCCTCCAAGACAATGATGCCTGCCGGGCCCTGGCTCCTGCGTTCTGAACACACAAGATGGGGGGCTGGCTTCCCACGGTCCCTCCACTGCCCCTGCCCGGGAATGCGGCCGCAGGGACCACGGCTCACCTGAGCAGATGGCACCGGTGGCAGCGTAGATGACCAGGCCCCAGCAGCCCATCTTCACACCGGCGTTGTAGTTGTGCCAGGCTGTCGAGTTGGACGGCTCCTGCTCCAGAGAGGCGGGGTTAGTGGAAGGCCACTGCCCATTTCAGCCTTAGACCCGTCCTGTGCATGCTAAGGCCACTTCCCTCCTGACCCCATGAGCCAGGGCCCATGCCAGGGACACAGCTCGCATACTCGTTCAGGCATCACCTTCTGGACTCATGTAGGACAAGGCAATGGACAGCTCGCCGCCCTCAGACCCCATAGGCAGACACGGCACTACAGGCGTGTACACACTGGCACCGCCTGCCTGCAGACCCCAGTATCCTCAAGGTTCCCCGGGCCAGGTGTGGCAGGAGACACCAAGGCTGCCCTGTTCTCAGGGACTGTCCCAGAGCAGAGCGGTGGGGCCCCAGGCTGGCTCACCTTGGGGTTCCCTTTGAAGATGACGTGGCCCATGAAGTCGGTGTAGAACACAGCCTCGGCAATGACGGAGAACCAGGTGAGCAGGTGGCAGAGGCAGAGGCGCGTCAGCTCTTTGGGCATCTTGAGCATGGAGAGCCAGAGCAGGCGCACGGTGGTCTCGCCCTCGCCCTCCTCGCTCTCCGTGTCCCCGCTGGAGGTGGTGGCCCCACTCTGGTGCCGGTGGCGCTGGCGCTGCCGCTTCTGCAAGTCATACAGGTCGCTCATGCTGCGCGACGGCTTGATGAGGACCACAGCGTTGGCCCGCCGGTGCCGGTAGCGGTGGGAGCCGATCTTGCCATAGTAGGAGAAGGTGCTGGAAGCTTGCCGCCGGAACACGTGTCGCCGTCGCCTCATGGAGCCCGGACCCGCTGGGGGCTTCCGGCCAAGGGCATCCACCGGTGGGGAGCTGCTCCCATTGGGGACTTTGGCATCATGCGCGTGGTGGTCGAGTAGGGTGTCGTCCTCCCTGGCGCCTTCCCGGAGCCGCGGGCACAGGCGAGGCAGCCTGGTCCTGGAGAGCTCCTGGCTGGTGCTGCGGGGTGTGCTGGGGTAGGAGGCATCGTGGAAGATGGACGGCTCGATGTCATGCAGGAAGAGCAGCTCGGGCTCCAGGTCCAGTGCCGCGTCTGGCACATGCAGCACGGAGTCGCTCTGGCTGCGCACCATGTCCACGGCCAGGTAGTCCAGTGGCAGCTCGTGTTCTGACTGCACCTCGTCCGGGAACAGGGGGCCGTGCTGCTCGCCAGGGGGGGCGCTGGCCTCGTCGGTGGCGCTGCGGTCCTGCTGAGGGTTGTACTGTTCCTCCTTGATGCTGAACAGATGCAGGCCCACCGACACCGTGAAGACGATGGCCGCGAAGAAGAAGAGCACCTGGTTCTGCGTGCGGAACCAGTCGCCCAGCACGGTCTGCGTCCAGTCCAGCCCGCCCAGCACATAGCCAATGGCACCACCCAGGCCTGAATGAGAAGAGGGACTGCTGTAACAAGTTAGGATGCAGCGAATGAACTGGGACCGGGGCACTGCCCTGGCTGTGCCACTGCCTACTACCTGCTGAACCCCAGCCCCAAGGCCCCACAGGCAGCCCCGTCCATTCCCCAGCCAGGCCCCGCCCCGCCCCCAGCCAGGCCCCGCCCCGTCCACCCCCAGCCAGGCCCCGCCCTGTCCACCCCCAGCCAGGCCCCGCCCCGTCCACCCCCCAGCCAGGCCCTGCCCTGCCGCCCAGGTCGGTCCATGTGGGTTTTACCGGCCGAGAAGGCATGGATGTTGAGGGCCATGTCTTGCTCCTCGCTGTCCACCACGTCCAGCAGGTAGGCGCGGATCGGGCCCTCGGTTGCATCAGCACTGAAGTCCAGGACCACCACCCCCAGCACAGTGAGGACAATGCCGATGGGTTGCCGGCTTGGGATGTCACCAAGGGCCAGTCCTGGACAAGCACACAGGTGGGCACTCAAGGCCACAGCTTAGCATCCTCACAGTGGTCGCAGGGCATGCTGGGCAGCTCCTCTCACGCCTGCAGCCCTAAACCCTGAGAGCTTCCTCTCCTTCCAGACTTCCCAGACCTGAGGGGGGCTGTCCCCAGGGAATAGGAGTGTCCGCTTTCTCTCTTTACCAAGAGCCAACCCCAAGCAGGCTGTTGGCCTGGGAGGCCCCTGCAGCTACCACCGGCCTGCTGTGTAGCTGGGCCACAGGGCATGTAGTGAGAGGGGACCCAGTCCTTTTGAATGTACTGCGGGTGCTGACTGCATCCCACCCCAGCGGGCTGCCTGCACCTGGACCAGAGGTGTTGGGGTAGAGCCAGACTGCCTGCCCCAGGTTGGGGGTCAGGAGCTGCCAAGTCACTGCATCTGGGGCACACAGGGGCAGGACTGCCCTCATGGCAGCTACCTCATGACCTCTGTGCCTGGCCTTGCTCAGGGAGGTCACATGGGGTGTTCACTAAACGGGGGACCAATCTCCTCCCCCTGCCAGGGTGTCCAGCCCAGAAGCACTTCCCGCCCTTGGGGCTTTAGCAGACAGTGGTGACCCACTTGGTCGCCGAGACAGGACAAGATGCAGAGGGGATGTTTGCAAGAACACACACAGGGGTCACGGACAGACGCTCCCGGGGGAGTGGCGCTGCCTCTGCCGGCCCCGCTCACCTATGGCCGAGCCGTTGAGAAAGAGTGCCACGCCGAAGAGCACGCCCACACACAGCGCCAGGATGAAGGGGCGCCTGCGGCCCCAGCTCAGTGTGCAGCGGTCGCTCGCAGAACCGATGAGTGGGGTGAAGATGAGACCAAGGATGGGGCTCAGGAACCAGGTAAGGCTGTAGTACTGCTCTGGGAGGCCTGCGGGGACACGGGGCGGGGACAGGCGTGAACACACACGGGGCGGGGACAGGCGTGCACACACACGGGGCGGGGACAGGCGTGCACACACACGGGGCGGGGACAGGCGTGAACACACGCGGCGGGGACAGGCATGAACACACGGGGCGGGGACAGGCGTGCACACACGTGGGGCAGGGACAGGCGTGAACACACACGGGGCGGGGACAGGCGTGCACACACGCGGGGCAGGGACAGGCGTGCACACACGCGGGGCAAGGACAGGCATGAACACACGCGGGGCGGGGACAGGTGTGCACACACACGGGACGGGGACAGACGTGCACACACAGGGCGGGGACAGGCGTGAACACACGCGGCGGGGACAGGCGTGCACACACACGGGACGGGGACAGGCATGCACACACACGGGCCTGGGACTCAGGTGAACACACAACACGGGGTGGGGACATGGGACAGCACGCACATGGGGTAGGAGGACACACATCAGCATGCATGCAGGCACATGTGGTCATACACCCGGAACACACAGCAGCTCTGTGCCTGAGTCCAGACACAAAAAGCACATACGTTAACACAAATTAACACACAATTATACAGTGCACGCAGGGACGTGTGATGGTCATACACAGGCACGCTCACGTGGAGACACACACCCCCTCTGCCTCCCCAAGAGAGGGAGGCCTGCACAGACTTCCTGTCGCAGTGGTGGGTGATGGGCGTGAAGTCAAACAAAGCCCACAGCTAGGAAGGGCTTCCGTGGGCAGGCATCCCGGAGGGCCTTGACCCAGCCTTACACAGCACGTGTCAGAGGGGCAGCAGTCTGGGTACCGCAGCTGGGGTGCCAAGCCCAGGCGTTGGACCAGGGGCGGCCACAGCTGCCTACACTAAGCATGTGGCCCGCTAACCCGAACCCAGTCGCCCAGCAGATGGAAGGGCCAACAAACCACTGGGGCACAGGCCAGCCACGGCATGCCCATCATTGGGCAGAGGACAGTCTGCTATAGCAGCTTAAGCCACCACTCGCTAGAGTCTGGTCCCTTATCAGCCAGCTCCTGTTGAGCCTCCTGGGGGCCTTGCCCCCTACATGGGAGAATTGGCAGGAGCCATAGGCGCCTGACTCAGCCCTGTGGTTAGGGCCGTTGGGGAAGGGAGTCAGCAGATGAAGTGTGTGCTTGCTCGCTCACTGTGTGTTTATCGTCAGAAGTTGGGGTGCCATTGGGAGGGGCCCGTGGCTGGGGGCAGGAGGGTTCTTGCAGGAATGTCTTGCAGCAGGCTCGAGTCCTGGCCTACCCTGTCCACCACTTCAACAGAATGACCACACTGCCCCACCCCTGGCCTGGGGGAGTGGAAGGCGGGCTGAGCCAGTTAGAAAAATACACCTGCGTGGGAGGAGAAACACTTCAAGAGGGAGGGAGTACTTTACCCAGGGCCCGTCAACCTGCCTGTGGAAACACGGGCACGCCTGCTGCTGGATTCAGTAGAACCGAGCGGCGGGTCAGGAAGCCACAAGCATAAGGGGGAAAAAGCGGCCACCCAGCTCTGCCCACCCCATGGGCCACGACACAGCAGGTGTTCACCAGGCCCAGTGGGCCTGCTGAGTGCGGCATGTCCACAGCTGCGCTGCCTCCTGGCTGCCGGGGCCCCTAGGCTGTTCCCTTTCCTAGGATGCTGAGCACTGCTCAGGCAGTCAGAGACCCAACCCTGACCCCTGGCCCACCATCCTCTAACTCACCCACGGCTGAGTGGCTCTGGCTGGCCTCCACCACCCGGCAGGCCCTCGGCGGTCCCACCCATGCTGCCATAATCTGACAAATGCCCCGTGCAGATGCACACCAACATGGGGCCTGGTCCCAGGACAGCCAGACTCCAGACATGCCATCTCATAAGGGATGAACCCTGCAGGTGGGCAAGTGTCCCAGGGACCCACAGTGTGGAAGAGCTGACAGGGTGGGAGCCAGTGAGGCAGGACGCTGTTAAGACAGGAGTGGGCAGGGCAGGCCCACGAATCAGGCTGTTAACTCTGTTCAGGGACTGCCTGCATGGTGGAACCAGGGGCCACACCCTTACACACGTGCCCGGCCTCCCGGGCTTGGCTCAGGCTCAGGGAGCACACGCTTCCCGGCACCGCACAGGTGGGTGTGAGCAGAGGTGGTGGACAGGGGTGGGGCAGCGAGACAGCCAGGCAGCGCCGCCAGGGCCCAGCTGTCAGCTCCTCGGCCTTGGGAGTGTGACAGGTGCTGCTGGCCTGGGCTCCTCCACAATCATGACTCTTCCCCCAGCATACAACTCTACTGCCTGCCCATGTGGCCTGACACCAGCATCCTGCCTCACAGGGCCTGGGTTCAAGTCCCACCTGTGCTCCCAATCCAACTTTGCCAGAAGGCAGCAGCAACAATAATCCAAGAGCTCGGGTCTGTGACCCACGCGGGAGAGTGGCCAGGTTCAGGTGCCCTGGCTGCTGGGGCCTTGGGGAAGGGATGCAGGGTATCCCTTCCTTTCAAAGAAACATAAATGAACCAACTCAAAAGAGGACCTCAGGATGTGGCTTGAGTGCAACCAAGGCTGGTTTCCTCGCGGGCCACGAGGGGAGGTGGACCCTGGCAGGTCATGGGGCCAGAAGCCAGGGCCGCCTGCCCACAGCACAGGTCTGTTTGCATGGAGCTGTTGGAGCTGCTCAGCCACCCACAGCTACTGCTGCTGGTGGCTGCCCCGACACCACATGTACCGGCCTGGGTCACGGCCTGTCTGCCTCACGTACCTGAAGCCCCATGCTGAGGACACACCCCGACCAGACCCTGCCTGCTCCATCCCTGGCAGTACATCAGGGCCAAGGCAACCTTCCCTTCTCAACAGGCCAACTTTCTGCAACTGTGACCAAAGGAGGGGAGGGGTGGGGCTGGCTAGTGGGACAGTGCTTAGGCCGGGGCCTGCCGGATGCCGGCACTGGCATTAGAGTGCTGACGGTTCTGCTCCCGTAGGACCAGGTCTCTGTCCGCAGCCCACTGGCACGTGCTGCCATGACAGTGGTGGGGGCATCTTCCTCATACCTCTCTCACAAACCTCACAGCTGCCCTTGGGGGTGTCTCTAGGGCCAGCTGCCTGCCAGCCCACCTAGTCAGCTGCTTAGGGGGCAGACACCATTGGCCCAGCGCCAGCTCAGCAGGCACCAAGGCTGGCCAGTGGAGCCTGCTGCCTAGCCCTACCTGGCCCTGCCCCGCAGCTCACAGGACCTGGATCTTCCTCCGTATCAGCATCTCTTAGCCTCCACTGGGATTCCTCTAAACCCCCGCCCAATCCAGGACCTAGCGTGGTCTCCTCAAGGCACATGGTTGCCACGGATGCAGGTACCTGCAGGTCTGAGGACCCAGGGCAGTGGGGCATGGAGGAACCTGCTAGGCCGTGGAGGTGTCTTTCCAGGGCTGGGCCCGCCAGGAAGGTGACCTTACCACTCTGCTCAGCTACTCCAAGAAGCATATGGGGCAGGGGCGGGGTGAGGGGAGGGCTGTGGTGTAGTGGGTAAACCTTGCCTGAGACACCAGCTGCCCATATCAGTACCAGTTCATGTCTGGCTGCTCCACTTCCCATCCAACTCCCTGCTTGTGACCTGGGTGGACAGGGGAGGATGGCCCAAAGGTTAGGAACCCTGCACCTGTGCGGGAGAGCCATAAATTCCTGATTCTAGCCTGGCTCAGCTCCAGCTGTTGTGGCCATCTGAGGAGTGAACCAACAGATGGGAGATTTCTCTCTGCTTCTCTAACACTGCCATTCAAGGAAGTAAGAAGTATGTATTTGAGAAAGTCACACAAGGTCACTAGTCAAGATGCCACATGATGCGGGTGCCGGGCTCAGTGCCCCACCCTCCATGGCTTTCAAACACCTGCTCACGCAGCCCGCCTGCCCTGCACCATGTGGCTCTCAACCCCATACTCCACATGGGGCCAGCCCATCTCTCGGGAGGTTGCCCATCAGGCAAGGTCCTGCTCTCATTCCATGCGGCCTGGGTGAGGGGGCCCAATGCTGAGGGCACATCCCAACAGTCCCACTGGCCCCAGCAGGGCACCTGGGAGAAGTAGGGTGCCCAGGACGAGACAGCTAGCCCTGAACACAAAGCTCAGGCCCGACACCTGCTGAAGAGCTAGAATCCCACTGTGGAGGGAGGCAGGCGGGAGCAGGTGGCTCGGCCCAGGGGACACTCCTGGGAAAGCCAGTACAGAGTGGATGCTGCCCAGAGCTGCCTTGCCTCATCCACCCCAAGACTGTCCTGCTGTGCCAAGACCCAAGCCACCTGCGCCCAGTGGGCCTGCAGGGGGGCCGGCTGCTGGCAACAGGTCGCTCCCTGCCACGAGTCGGAGGGGGGTGGCTGCTGGGACGCCTGGGCTAGGGACGTTCCCAGCAAGGCCTGGAACAAACACAACACCGGTCTCCGGCAAATCATTTTTGTTTTTTTTCCAGGCAAGAGTTGGACAACAATGGTGGGACCAGGAAGGCTGGCTGTGCACAGGAAACCCTGACTGTGTCACGGTGTGTCCGTGGCTGTGTGAGGTCACAGGCGACGCTTGGGTCACGTGGGCAGTTCCTATTCACACTGCGGGGCTGATGGATGGGAGGGGAAGGCAGGGGTGCCAGGCAGCAGCGGGAGTGCGGACTGGGAGCGATTCACACGGGGTCGGAGCCGGGGACCGGGGCCCACATTCTTTCTTTCCGCAGACAAAGCCTTCCGCGCCAAGATTACGCCTGCCTGGGCTCCTGGAAAAATCCGCGATAACAAAATACGTGAGAACTGGTGCCCGTGGGAAACAGCGGCCATCCTCGGGTGACCCGAGCCTCAGCCTGCCCAGGGCCACGGCCGTGGAAAGACTCCAGGGACTGGCTAGGCTGTGAGGCAGTCTATGTGGGGTGCAGGGAGAACCCTGGAAAGAACATTCCAGAATCACAGGGGCTGTGGGGAGGTGGTAGTGGGCCAGCTCAGGTGCTTGTCCCGGCTCCACCTGAAGCCA